GCGTGCTGTTATTGGTTGAAAGGGCGTGCTCTATCAAAGTGTATAACATGGAGTTGAAGCTGTCACGCCATCTGACAATTTGTAACATGGCGGACCAAATGCCGAATTTTTTTCTTGGGTTTTTATTCGGCCCAGAAGTCCTCTACGACCTTGAAGACGAAAGAGAAAACGAGCTGTTAGCGTCGATCGATTTAGAGGATACTGTCAATGACAATGCGATCTACCCTTTAACTGAAAGTGAGGTTTCCAACAAAGTTAATTACGAAAACAATGAGCGCGGCGGCAATTTAGACAGGCAAAGATTTGAACATGTTAAGCGCCGCAAGACGAGATAATTGTAAGACCAGAAACAAAGAAAACCAAACAATCCACCAAGTGGGCTATCCGAGTTTTTGAAGGTGAGTTTTTTCGTTGCAAAAATATAATAAATACCATATGAAAACCTCGAATAGAGTGAACGCACATTTGCTAAACCTTCTTACCAAAAAAATAAAAACAATCAAGGAAAGTGGACGATTTTAAAACTGGCTAGCACACACACGTTTCTAACCAACAACTATAACTTTCTCTAGAAAATGAACACCAAAATACAAATAAAAATCTTTTTTTTTCCGTTGCCGTTTTTTAATAGCTTGGTGTAGTGAAAGAAAAGTTGCCAAGAACCTCCACGAAATGAGTAACAAAGGGCCTGATTACGTGAGCCGGGCTGGCCCTGTTAGCCGGGCTGATTTATTTTGTTTTGGTGTTCGCCAAAGCGTGAAAACAAAAGAAATCAGCCCGGCTGACCGGGCCAGCTCGGCTCATGTAATCAGGCCCAAAGAGCTTGACCTATCCAGAAGTTAAATCCGGCCTGCGAAGCACTTTTTCAGTACCCAAAGCGAGCCGTGAAATCTCAAGTTAAAATTTGGTACGACAACTAGCCTCTTGGGGTCAACAAAATTTAAGCAATAATGAAAGAAATTTCTAAACTAGCGTCTCTTTCGAGAATCTACACTAACCATAGTATCAGAGCCATTGCAATCACGCTCTGGTCCAACGCGCAAGTTCCATCGCGGCACATAATGGCTATCTCTCGTCGCAGTGAAGCTAGCCTGAGGAATTACAACACTCGTCCATCCAGTGAACAGCTAAGGGCTTGTTCAGATATCCTCTATGGTGCATAGAATGGAAGACCATCGCAGCCAAGTTCCTCTGATGCAACCACCAGTTCAGAAAATCCTCACGCTGCTGTATATCCGACCGTTGTTTATTCACAGAACGGAGCGCAGCAGTTTGTTAATTTCCGACCACAAGCTTTAAGCAGTTGTTTTCAAATTGTCACGTTGATAACGTTCAGGTTTCCATGGGCAAAAATTCGGCCGGATTTCATTAATCATGTCATTTTGACAGCTTTGGTATTGTTCATCCAATCAAATTAGGTAGCCCATTCTAACAAGGATTCTGATTGGCTTAATGTAAGCGAGCTCTGTCAGAGTATAGAGCATGTTGACGACACTGTTGTTCGCTTTGAAAATAAAGGTTTTGTTTGAAAATTGCAAGTAATGTGTGGGGAATTCAACAGATTCTTTATTATAAAACAAATAGAGAAGCCTTGACTGTGCTCTGTTCTGTAGTAAAGCACAAAGCACTTAGCAAGTGGCTAGAGCACTCAAGAGGTGGGGAGAAACACTCGATTACGTCTCGTGTTTCTCCCTACACTTCTGTCGTGCTCTAGCCGCTTCCTGCGTGCTTTACTACAGAACAGAGCACAGTCAAGGCTTCTCTATTTGTTAATTAATTAATCATTTGATTCTGACTCTTACTAAATGAACAAAGTCCAAAACAAAATCAGCCTCATAAAAACTAAATTGGGCTGAGCTGTGACAGAGTACAAGCCTGACTACCAATCCTATCAGGTTTTCAACCACAATGAATAAGACAAGCCTCTTCGAACCTCAGAGGAAAATGTCTGATTCGCTACAACCCCAGAGCTTTCCACACAGAGTAATTTGCAGCCCACCCCTGGATAGGTTGGTGGCTGGGCTACATGCAGACACTAGCCTTAATGTTAAGTCCCCTGCATTGTCTCCCGGAGGGGTACTCGCATATATGGGCCATATAGGTACGTGCCGCGGAATAGGGTATGGCTTTTGAGGTTCTCGGTCCTTAAATAGGGTATCCTTTTTTACCCTTTTGTTTCTGTGTCCATGGTGTGGTCCTTAGATAGGGCAGCTTAATTACTAATACTGGAGTGTGAAAACGCCCGACTTAAAGCGCGTTTTTTTAAAAACAAAAGTGATAGGAAATAGGGTGTCATTTTGCGGCATTGGGCCTTAAAAGGGGTATTAGTTTTCGCTTTCTTAGTCCTTAAATAGGGTTTGGGTTCACGAACCTTCGCGGCACGGGCATTGCCTTCGGCCAGGCTGACTCTAAGGTGGGCAATACCCACCTTGAAGCGAAAACCTAACCATCAGATTTCGCCGCCTGCTGCTTGGAATTTCAACCACCCTCCATCCACAGGGTGCTCACACACTAGCTGAGCTCTTGCAGGGCATGAATCTGAGTGTCAGTCTTGTAACATAGCGGGCACGTTTTAGCAAATCCAGTTAGATACTATCTACAAAGATAAAGCTTGTACGTGTAAAAAATCGTTCAATTTTTCTCTATTCACCGCTTTAAGATCACATCCCAAAATTTATTTGGGCCCAATTCTTTTTCTTTTTTTTTGTGACCAAATGTAACCCCTTTGTTCTATGTGACCTCCTGCAAAGCTACCTGCTATTTATCATTTTTACCTCCTATGAAAAACTTAGCAAGAACTCTGAGCTATAAAGAGAATTTTCAAGACGTTTGGTTACTCTATGCAAAGTTGTGGACAGTGTTATAGTTTCAAGGCGGGATGCAAATTAAATGGTTTCTAAAGTACATCTCTCCTTTAAGTTTACTAATTATTTCCCAATTATAATTCATATTAAGATAAACATGGATTTTCTCACTTCTAGGATGCAAGAATTGGAAGTGGGACTGGAAAAAGAAATGATGTTCAAAAGTTTTTAACTCGAAGAGACTATGCAATATTTGTTCCACTGGAAACTGTCATGCCAGAAAAAGACTTTGACGAGGAAGTTGAACAACCTTCAAGACCTTCAAAACCTCCGAAAAGTGCAATATTAGAAAAGCAGAATCTCTCTGAGGAGCAAATTCACCAAAATGAATTGTATGCAAAGTCACTGGGCGATTTCAATGTGCCTTCAGGTGAATGAAGTGCTTGCGTGAGTCCAAGTTTTGCACTCAAACTTTAAAAACTAGTCGAAAAGCATTACTTTTGTGAAATGCTCTTTAGGAGGGGAAACATTTTTCTCGTGCTTTTTTAAGGCTTTTCACAGGGCAAAATTCACTTGAATGTGACATTTTCACGTGAAATTACCAAGTAAATCCGTTATGGAAACCCTGTGTAGATTTTACTATTGAGAGCAGACTGAGTACATGCATGCAGTTAAACATCCATTTGATATTGCTGCGATGCAACTCAGTTTACTTACTCCAGCAACGAATGATTTAAGGCAGGAGCTCATGACCTAGTTCTATGTCATAAGCTTTTGCTACAGGATAATTCAAAAGCAGTTGGGTTTTATGTTTCAGACAGGAAGAATGATGAAATAAAATATGATAGTTGTCATGGTCTGGAAGTTGGATCTGTGATAGAGGTTCCTATAGGGAATGGTGTTCCAAAATATGGGGTCATACGCTGGATTGGACGTTTACAACAAATGAATGAAAATGTGGTTGCAGGCCTGGAATTGGTGAGATGAATGATGAATGAGACTTATTTATTTTAGACCTATAAAAGCTAACTGAAAAATTATGTTTAGGTTAGAAAAATGTCTCAACAGAAGTTTACCTATCCATTAGCAATCAGACTTAAAGTACAAGAGCAAATGCTAACACATGGTCACCTCTTGTAATGTAACCTGGACAACATGGTCATGAACGCACTGTAACGTTGATTTAATGGACTTTTGCATGCTTGAATACAGATTATTAATCAGAAATTGTATGAGGGATTGTTACACTGTGCTTCATTTCTTTGAAGGAAGAGGAAGAGTCTGTATGCTCAGATGGAACCTTCCATGGAATAAGATACTTCACCTGTACAGCAGGAAAAGCATTTTTTGTTTTGTTAAAGAACTGCCGACCAGATTCACGATTAGGTACGTGGTACGCAACTAATTAGTCCGCAGTAGAAAACGCCTCTTACATTGCCCCTTTTATTTTGTGTCCTTTTTGTACTCTTATATTTTCTTGTGAATAACTAAGTATTTAAACGCACCTTCTTAACAAAGAGAACATGTACGAGAATTTTCTGTCCTAGTTTTGTTTTGTGTTTTCCTTATCATGGGCAAAGGCATATCGCGTGCATTGCATGGGTAAACTGATTAACTCCCCTATCCCCCACTTCCCTCTTAATCTTTGCGCATTCCGTAAGTATAGAGAAGAAATCGAATTGTTGTACCTTTTAAAATGAACTTCGATTTATTCCAGAAAACAAACAAAAAATTATAGCATTTTAAAGGGGCGGTTTTAGTAAACTAAACAAGGAGAAAAATCAAAATTCAGGTGTACCTATGTTAAGACATAGTAGACCTCACATCCGGGTTGTGGTTCTTGAAGAACTATCAATGACAATAACAGTTTCCCGCCATTTCAAGGCGGGCTCACGAGAATTCAACTAGTGTACAAAAATAGATTTTCCTATCCCACCCAGGCACGACTTCATTATTTTGCTCTTAAAGTTACGATAAATTGTAGATTTCTCATCTTGTAAACAGATCAGCGACCGACGAAGAAAAAGGAGCAAGAAGGAAATGTTCGCAGGCTGGTAACAGAAGTAAATGAGCAGGTGTCACATTTATCAGCAGAACTACGAGAGAAGGAGTTTAGTGAGACCAACATACGTGAACGGCCGAGGGAGAAAGAACAGCATGAAGAAAATTTACGAAGACAATTGCATGAGATGGAGCAGCAGCTGAAAAACCTACATGGACAATTACAAGAAAGAAGTGAACAACTGAGGAATGTCACCCAGAAAATGACGGTTGTCCAGGGGCACCAACAAGAAAAAGGTGAAGAAACTGCTAATTTACAGAAGCAAGCTACTGCCTTAAGGCAACAGCTAGAGGAAAAAGACCAAGAAATGGGGCTGCAGCTGAAAAACCTGCGTGAACAATTACAAGAGAGAGATGAACAACTGAGGGGTGTAACCTACCAAATGACGGTTGTCCAAGGGAAGCTACAAGAAAAAGATGAGGAAACTGCTAATTTACAGAATCAAGCAACTTCCCTAAGGCAACTACAAGAGGAAAAAGAGCAGGAAATGGAACTGCAGCTAACAAACCTGCGTGAACAATTACAAGAGAGAAATGAACAATTTAAGATTGTCATCCAGCAAATGACGGTTGTCCAAGGGCAGCTACAAGAAAAAGATGAAGAAACTGCTAATTTACGGAATCAAGCTACTTCCCTAAGGCAACTACAAGAGGAAAAAGACCAGGAAATGGAGCTGCAGCTAACAAACCTGTGTAGACAATTACAAGAGAGAAATGAACAATTTAGGGATGTCACCCAGCAAATGACGGTTGTCCAAGGGCAGCTACAGGAAAAAGATGAAGAAACTGCTAATTTACGGAATCAAGCTACTGCCCTAAGGCAACTACTGGAGGAAAAAGACCAGGAAATGGAGCTGCAGCGGACGAACCTGCGTGTACAATTACAAGAGAGATATGAACAATTAAGGGATGTCACGCAGCAAATGACGGTTGTCCAAGGGCAGCTACAAGAAAAAGATGAAGAAACTGCTCATTTGCAGAGTCGACTCGAAGAAAAAGACCAGGAAATGATTGAATTGGAAACAACTCTGTCCATTGCCCAGGATGAGTTACGTGACTATAAACGCCCACAATCCCCGGAATGGGTCATTTCAAGGGATCGCATTCAGCTGACTGGTAAATCTCTTGGCAAAGGAGGCTGGGGAATCGTTGTCGAAGGCAAATATTGTGGTTGTTCTGTTGCAGTAAAACAGATCCATGAGTTGATTCTCTCCCCTCACAACCGCAGATTGTTTGAGCGAGAAATAGACATTGCTTCAAGATGCCGCCACCCTTGCCTGCTACAGTTCATTGGAGCTACTAATGACGAAGGGAATCCATTGTTAGTAACAGAGCTGATGGAAACAAGTTTACGCCATATGTTGGAACAGAGAGCTCTTTCTGAAATTGAAATCTCTTTCATTTCCCTGGATGTGGCTCGGGCGCTCAACTACCTTCACCTAAAGCAACCATCTATTATTCACCGCGACATTAGCAGTGCAAATGTGCTACTTTGGCGACAAGGGGAACATTGGCGAGGCAAAGTGTCAGATTACGGAACTGCCAACTTTGTGCAGCAGACCATGACAGTGGCTCCTGGTGCTGTGATATACAAAGCCCCTGAAGCAGTTACTGAGACTCAAACTGTCAAGGTTAGCTGTAATTTGAATGTTTTGTAAAGAATAAAAAAGATGGTACGTTTAGAGCACTAGCACTGTGAAGAAATATGGAAAGGTGTCTTTCGTCTTTTCACGAGCGTCGGACAAAGAGTCCCCTTGAGGAAACGAACCTCAGACTTTCGGATTCTGCGCCACGATGCTCTGCCTCGAGCCCCAGAGGCCCTATATATGGCATGCATCCTGCATACTGCCCGGATCAGCAGTTTCGATAGGCTGTTGTGTGCATTTCACATGCATGTAGGTATTGTAATCACCTCAAACTTAGGTTAAGCAATTTTACTTTTAACGGACATGAATGTTAATTTTAGAAAGTTCGTTTATAGGTCAGTGCAATTTTTCGTCACAGCATAAAACATACTAAGCGTTATCACTTAAATATGAATCGACAGCTTTTGAGTCATTAGACCTAATAAACTCCAGTGCATAGCTATATTTCTCTTTCATTTTCGTCCTTTATCTTGTTCAGGTTGATGTGTACAGCTTTGGCGTCCTCCTCTGTGAGATGTGCATCGGAGAACTGCCAGATCCACAAAAGCGTGTGAGGCAAGTTGCCATGGTGAAAAACAAATAGAATCGAGCCCTTATCAGGAAATGTTTGGAATCAGAGCCTGAGGCGAGACCAAGCATACAGGAGATCATTAATGAACTTGAGGAACCTAAATTGAATTAGGTTTGGTCGGTTCAGCTATAATTACTATGATGTAAGTTTAATGGTATCTATGTTACAAACATCTTTCCTGATATAAACACTGTACTTGTAACGGTATGTATGTTCCAGAGGGACATCTCTTGTGAAATATATACACATGATGAGATTGATTTTACTCAAATTAAAATAACAAAAAGTAATTTTTTTATTCAGAATGGAGAAAGACATGAAATTCCAAAGGAATTGAATGGAAAATAATGGGAATACTGTCAGCTGAAGACATTTGCCATGTAGGAGATTGTCCTTTTAGTGTTGCGAAGAAAGACTTTACGAGCAAACAAGTCTTTTTATTTCCTTTATGGCTACTTCAGTAAGGGGATGTCATTTTTATTCCTCAGTTTTAGCTGAACCAGTTTGAGTCAATGGCGTGCAATTAGTTTAATGCCCCTCATACCTCATACGTATACCTGGCATTTTAGAGGTTATCTCGTAGTACTGCACTGGACATTAGCTAGATTAAGCACCACGAAAACGGCGAACGCTGAACGTCGGCTAGCCGTTTGTCGTTTGTCGTTCCGTCCGTGATGTTCGTCTGTTTAAGCTTCCCAACGACACGGCAGAACAAATGTTCTCGGTCGCCATTCACTGCTACTAGAACTAATGGATACAAAGAAGTAATGTATTTTTCGCTTGAATTTGAACTCTATTAGTTTTACAAGCAGTTCATATAGTAGTAAGACGACAAACGAAGCTTAGCTATAAAAGCAAGCAAACAAAATGTAGAAATAGTCGGTAGAAATGGGCTCCAAATACTCCCGTTTTCGCGTTCCCTTCAAACGGAAAAAATGTCCTCCTCGAGTAGAAACGGCGGCCGGCAAACGGCAAACGCGGGAAATGTCAGGTCACGTGACCCTCTCTACCGTTCGTGGGAAAAAATACCTGGTACTTTAATCTCTCTATTCTTTCTGCGAATAATTTTAAACCTGATTACTGCGCGCACATTTAAAATTGGCGACTTTTCTTAATCGTCGTTGTGCATCAGAGAGGTAAATTGTCACCTTCTTTAAACGAGGACGTTTATCTATCATTTTTATTTTCTCCTTTGGAGTTGGGTACTGACTTTATTTCCGTAAATTGGATGTAATAACATTCTCTGTGAAGGAGAAGGAATTCAACTTTTGGAAACGCAAATTTAGCAAGAACCGGTAACTATGATTTTCAAGACATTATAGAAACTATATGGGTTCGTATACCAGGTACTGCTTCTCCTAAACGAAAACTGGGACCTCTATTTTTTATTTCAAAATTTGCATTCCAACAAGATAAACAAACAATAGCTAATCGACAGTGGTTCAGCGTGTTCTTTACTTTTATCGAGAACGACATTCGCCATCCACAACATTTTGACTAACTGAATGTGATGACGAATATCGTTGTTAATAAGAGTACAGACTACGCTTAATCACTGTCAATTTTTTAAATTCTTTAATTTTTTAAAACTTTCCAATTAAGGATTAGTTTTGATGATTTGAAACTATCCAAATAAATCCTTAATTGGACAATTTTGAAAAATTAGAGTAGTAGTAGCTATGCTGACAATTTTGGATTAACTACCCGCCATACTGCTATATACCTAAATGTGCAGGTATCTTTTAGTTTCTTATCGTTTGACAACTGGTTCTTGCGTTAGCGTGTATTAATAGAGGTATGAAGCAAGTTGGAAGTTTAGAGAGCGCGAAAGATACGTAATAGTTGAACCACTCGTTTTTATGATCATTTGGCAAGAAACTAGTTAGAGCATTTTGACAAGAGATACTCAATCTGCCACATTTCCTGCTCACCCAAAGTCATTAGCGTACAGAGTGGGAATATGTAACACGCTGTTTAGCGCTATTTACTATGTATAAGATACCTACCAATTACGGAAAATAAATATTTCGCTTGTATTATGTTTGAAATAGCTGCATTATTTTGTTAAGGCATGCAAAGCGGTCTGTTGCATTACGTACATTTGAACAGTGCTGGCAAACATCACTTACAGTGACCAGAATAAGATGTAAATAAATATATCTTATAAGACGTTTTGTTATGCCCTATAAATACAAAAAACGAGTAAATATACTCAGCAAGACGACACACCAAAACGTGTAGTAAGTTATTTATTATCCAACACGCCAAATTGTTTTTTCAGTGCGGGCGAATTTCGCGGATATTTATTTACGGGGAGTGCGTGACAGGTGTAATTGCGAAGCGGAACGGAATTGGCGTGTTGTCGTGTTACTGTTTCTATTTTCTTCACTAAATGATGAAATTTCATTGTCGTCTCACTGCTTTTCTTCGTTTGATTTATCTGATAAACTTCGATCAATATTCGCCAGCCATTCCGACTCTTCGTTGTCAGAAAAATGATTCAACTTGTCCGCCATTTTTTATTTCGTAACTTCAATCCCAGCAATTCTTCGCTTACGCAAGCGAGAAAATCAGTCTAACCGATTCTCTGGAGTACAACTACCGCGTGTTATTATCCAACTACACTTCGTAGAGTACTAATAACGCCATAGACGAG